GGAGTTTGTTTGGTATGGTCAAATTTTTAAACAATAAAAATTTTGCACAATAAGCTCTAATAACACCAGAAGGAAGTCAACAAAGAGGAAAAATGAGTGAGGAAAATGGTATATTCTAAAATAAATTGATGTAATTATAATACTGCAGAGGTTAGATAAGAACATGCTAAAAGAAATATAATAATTGTGCAGATGAACTCAAATTTAATCTGCTATCATAAACATTTCAACTTACAAAATTAGGAACGATGAAGTACATGTTGGAAAATTGATGTATTTAAGTTTTAACTTCCTGGAGGGCATCCTGTCCTGATCATATGAAACATGGTCTTTAAAGTATCCTGACTTGGAATTTTGGATAAAATAGTCAAAGGAAACAGCTCCAGAGGGAAAATATAATTTATACCAGCATTGATGATCATATATATATATATATAATATATATCTACCTACTAATATATATATAACTACTAATATATACATGCATACAATGTATATAAGTAAATATAAACATATAAGTACACACAGATATATAAACATAAATGGAACCAGCTTCATACCCTATTGAGTACTGGCAGAGCACCCATTAGCAAGCTAGAATAATACAAAGTTATTTAGATAATAATAAGCCCACTCTATTAATATTTGGAAATAGGTGCCGGATATAAATTAAAACAGAAAAATCCTATTGTGGTCCCTGTTTCAGGGATATCTTCTGGGTTGTAAGATATCACAATCAGTTGCTGCTTCAGGGACACGATATTCTAGAGTGGAAAATAGATCACCATGAGTATCAATACTGGCGAAATAAGGTAATTTTAGGTAATAAGTGCTATGAAGAAAATAAAAGAACAAAGGACTAGAGAGGGACTTAGGGCAGAGGGGGTTCATTATTTTAGAGAGGATGGTGAGAGGAGGGGGATTCTTCGCTGAGTCATCCTTGTTGAGAAGGACCTGCCAGGTGACAGTGGGGGTGGGGAAGGAGCACTTGAGGGAGCCCAAGTTTGAGGACTCTCAGACTGGAATGAGTTCAGCAGGTGTGAGCCAAGAGCAGGCCAGAGTGGTTAGAGCTTAGAGAATAAGTGTATGTTTGTCTAGATTACAATAGAAACTGAGTTAATTTTGAATGGCCTAAAATAGCTAGACTTTACTTCCTTACGGTTTAAAAAATTTTATATTGTGATTGTGAAAATTATGGCAAAAATTCAGAAGTATACGAAACAAACGTATGTTTTAAAGAAGAATGACAAAGCAAACATCCACAGACCCACCACCAGTTATGACCTAAAATGCTATAATCCCCTTGTAGCTTTTGGACTGCATTGCTCTCCCTGGCTCCTGGTGGTAAGATAAACATTGTGTGACTTTTGAGATAAGGATTCCTTTGCTGGTCTGGATTTAGTGACCTATATTTGCAACCCAAACATGTAGTCTAGTGTGGCTTGTTTTGAATTTTATATAAAACATCCATGGTATGTGTATTCTTCTGTGTCTTGCTTCTTTCTCTCCAAATTGAGGTTCCTTTGTGTTGATCTGTGAGTTTTTAGTTAGTTTTTACTCTATAGTATATGAATACACTGTAACATAGTTATTTGTTCTGTCGATCAGTATTTGTTCTTTTTTTCCAGTGCTTGGCTGTTATTGTAATAAGGTCTGATGTAATTTACCTAGGAACACAACTTCTGGGTTGTAAGATATCACCAAATTTACTAGACAATGCCAAACTCCTTCCAAAGTAAATACACCAGTCTTTACTCTCACTAGCAGTGTGCGAGGCTTTCTGTTGCTGCATGTACAGGATTACACCAACCCTGGACGTTGCCAGACTTAGTAATTTTTGCCCGTCTGATGGGTGTGTCCAGGTATCTTGAAGTTTTAATTTTCACTTTTATTCTCACTAATGAGTTTGAGCACCTTTTCATGTGGTTATAGGCCATATGGATTTCTTTCACTTATGTTTCTGAAAGGCTGATTCAGGTGTTTTTCCCAATTTTTTCTTGGTTCTGCCTTACCGTATAGCAGTCATTTATACCTTCTCTCTGTGTGCTTATCCTCCCTTTTTTATGCTTTTTAAATATTTAAAACTTAAACAGAGACGAATTTTAATAATCTTTTTATATTAGTTATCCATTGCTTTGTGACAGATCACCCCAAAACCTAATGGCTGAAACAACTTTATTTCAGTTGGGACTCGGCTCACTAGGCAATGACTGCCTGCCTCCTGCCTGTGCAGGGAAGCTCTGCTTCTGCTGGTTGGCTGTCTGATTGCTGGGGTGATAACGGGGTGACTGAGCCACAAGTCTTTCATCAGCCGCAGGTTAGCTTGGACTTGTTCACATGGAATCGGGCAAAGGTGTACCAAGCTTCTTGAAGTGGAGGCTCCAAAATAGCAGATGTCACATTCACTGCGTTCCGTTGTTGTCCACAAACCCTGCTGGTATTCAAGGGGTGGGGACATGACATAGACCCTGCCACTTGTTGGCGAGGCTGTGAGTGTCCTTGAAAAGAGAAGTGCGTGCAGGCAGGGGCAAGAGTTGTGACCATGCTTGCAATCCACCACTTTTTACATTATAGTTGTGCTTTTCTCCCCTACTCCAAGGGTAAGAATACAATCCTATAGTGTCTTCTAAAAGTTACAAGGGTTTTCCCTTTCACATCAAAGTCTTTTTCAATGTTGGTTTTTAAAAAAAATTTATTTTGAAGAGGAAAAAGAATTTGAGAACAGCAAGAGAAACATGAATTAGAGGAAGAATGAAGTTTCAAACATCATGACAGTGGGGGATGTTGATAATGAAGGAGGCTGTGCATCTGCAGGGGACGCGGGTCAAAGAAAAATCTATACTCTCTGCCCAGTTTTTCTGTGAACCTAAAACTGCTCTAAGCCATAGTCTATTAGGAAAAATTAAAAAACAAAGCAAAACTATGACAACAGCTGAAAGAGCTGGTGAGCATTCACTGTTTGTTTGTTAGCTATAATACAGTGAAGAACATTAAAAAGAACACTTGCTTTTACTATCCTACCATCTTATTAAAAACTGCCCTTGGTGTTTTGCATTATTTGCTTCACTTTCTTGTCTATATTTATTTGTTGCAAGATAGCATTCCGATCAGCAGTAATGGATTGCATTTTATTTTTTCAACTTTTTAATTTTCTTAACATGAAGTTTTATTTGAACACGGTCTGTCAGTACTCATTGTACTGAGACCAGAGGCATAAGGAGTGCAGGCGTCAGTGAGCAGCTTCTTAGAAAGTGCTTTAGACCAGAGGTAGGATTGTATCCTGGCCAGGGCCTGGGTTTTGGACACATGGCCCTAGAGTAGAATCAAGCCTTTGCTGTCGTAGTAGCTGTGCAACTTTGTGCAAATAACTTCTCTGAGCTTTAAGTCAGCATTTTAAAATGGAGATCATTTTTAATTATCTTTCAAGAGTATTGAATGAGATAGAAAAAAAAATATTACCTAGCATGACATGTGGCCCATAAAATAAACATTAGCCTAGATTAGAAATAGGTTTTCCACTATTTTCCGTTAATCTCCAGTAAGAAAAGATGAGGACCTCTATAAGTCTTTTGCAGAATGAATTATTTCTGACATTTAAGCTTGGCCTTAGTTACCTCCCTGTGGCTGTTTTCTGTGAAAACTCTTTCATCATCTTCTGGGTTCTCTGCCTGGAGTTTGACAATCAGTTAAGTGCATCTGGTTGGCTGACATCAAGCTTTTGAGACCCGTGTGTGTGTGTGTGTGTGTGTGTGTGTGTGTGTGTGTGTGTGTTTCTAAATTTTTCAATTGCAATTTATATTCAATATTATTTTGTATTAGTTTCAGGTGTGCAGCATAGTGGTTATACAACCATATACTTTACCAAGTGTTCACCCCAATATTTCCAGTACTCAGCTGGCACTATACATAGTTATTATAATACTAGAGGCCCGGTGCACGAATTCGTGCATGGGTAGGGTCTGGCAGGCCCTACCCAATGGGGGCCGATTGGGGCTGGACTGGTGGGGGGGAGGGGCTGTGGGAGGTTGGCCACTGGCTCTGCCCCCGATCAGGCAGTGGGGGGGCTGCTTGGGGGCGAGGCCAGCTGGTGGGAGGGGCTGCACATCAGAGTGGGGGGTGCTGCGGGAGGTTGTGGGGGGCTGATCGGGGCCCCGATTGGGTTGGTTGGCCGCTGCAGTGCGCGTCATAGCGACCAGTCATTCTGGTTGTTCCGGGTGTTCTGCTGTTCCAGTCGCTTGGCTTTTATATATATAGATTATTAGATTATTGGCTGTATTTCCTATTCTGTACTTTACATCCCCAACTATTTTGTAACTACCAATCTTTACTTCAGACACTTATATTTGAAACCTTGGTAGCCAGCCGGATCTCATGGAGCCCTGGGAGATACTATCAGGGGTGTGTGTTCACGGTCCTCACTTTTGATTTGGGCAAGCTCTGACCTGAGTAAGCAGAGAAAGGAAAAGTGTTTTAGGGAACTAGGTGAGGCAGTCCGATCTCTGAGGAAGAAGAGACTGGGGGGTGGAATAAACATTTCTCCAGCACCTGCTCTCTGCCAGAATGTAGAGTGGAAGACAGAAGCTGCTGGAGAGAGCACCAGGGATGCTGGGCCCCTTGGCAAAGCAGTTGGGTTGTGCCTCTTCCCAGATTGATTGGAGGAGAGCTCTCTAGCTCTCTTGACCTGACGAGGAATAAATATCTTCTAGGCCTTGACATAAAACGAGGACCCAGCCCTGATTGGTTTGGCTCAGTGGATAGAGCGTTGGCCTGAGGACTGAAGGGTCCCATGTTCGATTCCAGTCAAGGGCATGTACCATGGTTGCGGGCACATCCCCAGTAGGGAGTGTGCAGGAGGCAGCTGATCGATGTTTCTCTCTCATCGATGCTTCTAACACTCTATCCCTCTCCCTTCCTCTCTGTAAAAAATCAATAAAATATAAAAAACAAACACACAAAAACCCAAAAAACGACCCATGTCATGATTAAATCTTTCTTCCTAGGTCTTTCAGCAGCCCAGCGGAAGTTTGCTCACTCGCTCAGAGACTTTAAGTTTGAGTTTATTGGTGATGCGGAGACCGATGATGAACGCTGCATAGGTATGTGGAGGGGAGGGTTTGGTCTGCTCTCCTTTGCTTTGTCCACCAAATAACGATTCCTTTCTCTTGACAGATGCTTCCTTGCGTGAATTTTCTAACTTTTTGAAGAACCTGGAAGAGCAGAGGGAAATCATGGTGAGTTGTGGGATGTAAATGAATAAATCTAACTTGAGCAGGGGAAATCAGGTTTCTATTTCCTCAGTGGTGCTGACCTTGGCAAGATTTTAGATAAGTTGCTGGACTTCTGGACCTGTTTCTTTATCAGTAAAATAGTCAGACTATATCAGTTCCATCTAGATTTTCGTCAGCACTTGCATTTTACATTCAGGGGTGGGGAATGCCCGGCCCTCGGGCTGTGTAAGGTCTGGGAAATCATTTGGTCTGGCTCTGCCAAGTTATTAGAGGTGAGTTAATTAAATCTTTGACCAAATATAGCAGGCTAATTTTTAAGTTGATAAATTTGTATGGCCTGTGAATGATCCAAATGGCCCTTGGCAGAAAAAAGGTGTCCTACCCCTGATTTAAATTGAGTCTCATGCATGTATCAAAAAGATAAAAGCAGAAAAGCTTATGTAGAAGCACAAGGACAGCAGGGCAATGTTAGAGCTATATCTGTCGATTTCTAGGCTGTGTGGAGAGGGAGGGAACTCAGGCCTGGAAGTCTTTTTTTTTTTTTTTTAAATATATATTTTATTGATTTTCTACAGAGAGGAAGGGAGAGGGATAGAGAGCTAGAAACATCGATGAGAGAGAAACATCGATCAGCTGCCTCCCGCACACTCCCTACTGTGTATGTGCCTGCAACCAAGGTACATGCCCTTGACCAGAATTGAACCTGGGACCCTTGAGTCCGCAGGCCGACGCTCTATGCACTGAGCCAAACCAGCCAGGGCAGGCCTGGAAGTCTTTAAGACCCCACTTTGCCTTGAGAATCGTGATGCCAGCAGTAATGATAATAGCTACACTTCATTGGGTGCTCTCCATGTCTATCATGCTATGCTGAGTGCATTGAGTGGATCATCTTATTTATGCCCAGCAATGCAGTTTGAGTGTATTGAATAATACTTAATCTTTCTTTTTTTTTTTTAAATATATTTTATTGATTTTTTATACAGAGAGGAAGGGAGAGAGATAGAGAGTTAGAAACATCGATGAGAGAGAAACATCGATCAGCTGCCTCCTGCACATTTCCCACTGGGAATGTGCCCGCAACCCAGGTACATGCCCTTGACCGGAATCGAACCCGGGACCCTTCAGTCCACAGGCCAACGCTCTATCCACTGAGCCAAACCGGTTTCGGCTAATCTTTCTTAAAAGTTGCATTTCCCACCAAGTGACTGATAATCATTGCACAAAAATTTACAGTAGAATTGGCACTGGAATAGGACATACTATTCTCACCATATTTTAAGGCTTTCAGAGGGCTTGTGAAGGCACTGTGGTCCTCTTAGGTTTTTCTGGCACAAACTGACATATTCAACCATTATTTATGTGATGCTGTAGTCACTGATTTTCCAGCTGTTTAGGCAAGTTTAAATGTGGTAGTGGATGAAAGTAGTACTGTGACATCACTTTTCTGCTACATGAAGTGGGTGTGAGTGTGTGGCTGATGGTGAAACTGCATGTTCTTAGTCTTTGTTAATAGCCGTGGACTTTTGTCTCAACTCTCTTTGATATTTAGTTGTACTTTCCTGGGATCCTGAGCCTTCAGCAAATATGTATCAGATCACCTTTTGCCTTTTGTGTTCCAGTGACTGATTAAAATCTGAACACAGAGGCAAAGCCATGTCCCTGCCCTCAGGGAGGTTACATTCTAGAAAGGGGAGGTGATAATAATAATTAAAAAATAACATATAATACATTGTCAGGTAGTGATAAGTGCTACAGAACTTAATAAGGAAGAGTACGTAGCCAGAGAGTAGGGCCCGGTACTGTTACACCTAGAGTGGGGAGAGAAGGCCTTTGCACAGAGAACTCCAGGTATCTGGGGGAAGAGAGTACTGGTCAGATTGGTGCTAAATTTTAGCTCTGCAGAAATACTGTGTAACCACAGTCAGTCTTTTTTTAAATCCTCACCTAAGGATATGTTTTTATTGATTTTGGAGAGAGAGGAAGGGAGAGAAAGGAGGGAAATATCGATGTGAGAGAGAAACATTGATCAGTTGCCTCCTGTACATGCCCTGATGAGGGATTGAACCCTGGGATCGAACCCACAATGTAGGTACGTGCCCTGACTGGGAATCGAATCTGCGACCTTTTGGTGTATAGCAGGGATGGGGAACCTTTTTTCTTCTAAGGGCCTTTGGATATTTATAGCATCCATTCATGGGCCATATAGAATTATCAGCTTAAAAATTAGCCTGCTGTATTTGGTCAAACATTTAATTAACTCACCCCTAATGCCTTGGCAGGGCCAGGCCAAATGATTTGGAGGGTCTTATATGGCCCGAGGGCTGGACGTTCCCCACCCCTGATTGTACAGGATGACACTCCACCAGCTCAGCCACTCAGTCAGGGCACTGCTCCCTGTCTTGATATTCTGTTTCCGATTTATGTTCCCGAGGTGAAATGACTAGGTCAAAAAACCAGAACGTGGTCTTCGCTCCAGGCTGTCTGACAGAGATAGCATGGTTCTCAAGCTGAGTTAGGGGATTTATTGATTTAATCTTCAGTTGTGATGGGAGTTGATAGGGTATCTGTCTTAGATAGGAGGAGGATGGCTGGGCTAGGCTTTCACTGCAGGGTAAAAGTAAGAATAGGATGTTGTCCGTATAAGGCCATGAACCTCAGAGAGGTTATAACCCTCTGTGGGAACAGTAATACCTGCTGGATAGCAGGAAAATATTCAAAGCCAGCAAGCAGTGGGGGCAGCTGTGACCAACCACAGAATTAACAGGACATCTGGGCATCGAATGATCTTTTTTCCCCTCTAACGTTTTAGTGGAAAGTTTTGAGTGTGTACGAAAGGTAGAGAGAAAAATATAATTAAATTGCACGTACTCATCACCCAGCTTCAATAACCATTGCCACACAACCGATCTTGTTTCTTCTGTACCTCTTACTGCCACCCCCATTATTTTGGTTGAAAGCCCTGTATCATCCATAAATACCTTAGTGTGTAGCTCTTAAAGATAACTCTTTGAACCACAGTATCCTTGTCTTACCTAAAAACAGATAACAATTAATATTACAAAGAATTAGGCTGTATTCAAATTTTTCTGATATTCATTCACATTTTGTTGCCCCTTCCCCAGCCCCCCTAATAGTGGTTTTGTTTGAATCTGGATCCAAACACAATATATTTGATTGATAAGTTTCTAAGTCTCTTTTAATCTATAGGTCCTTCCTCCTTTTTTCCCCCTTGACAGGAATTCCTGGTGCTTTATTAGCTTTAAAAGACCTTTATGGTAGTATTTTCTGAATTAACAGTGATAATCTTCTATAATAAAAGCGTAATATGCTAATTAGACTGGACATCCTCCCGGAAGACCTTCCGGATGAAGCCAGGTCCCGGGTGCCAGAGGGAAGCAGGTGCCGGCTGCCGGAGGGGGGGGGGGGGGGGGGGGGCGGGGAGGAAGGCTTATTGTTGCACGAATTTTGTGCATCAGGCCTCTAGTGAAGTTATTTGGGTGTTTCTGTCTAATCTTAATAGTTACTGATCACTTTTTTTTTAAGCATGTAAATTGTAAGGAATTATTATGGCTAGCTTTGTTCCTTTAAGTTGCTTTGAATACTTAGGGAACAAAATTTGTTATGCTTTGCTAGACACCAGCCTTAAACTTTTGCAGAAGAAAAGATACCTCTCTCAAGAAGTGTCCAGTGTTGTTGTGGAGACTAACTGGTACAAAGCTAATTAAAATACATGACAGTAAGTGCAGGAGCAGGGGTATAGAGTGTGGCTGCAAGGAGTGGGGAGCAGCTAAGCCCCTGCTGCTCAGGAAAGACAGTCTGGAAGAGGTGGTATTTGAGCTGGAGTGCAGGGGACAGAGATGCCAAGGAGGGCCTTTGTATCATTTCACCAGCTCTCACCTCCCCAACACAGTGACAAGGCGGTAAGGATGGTCTTTAAACAGGTGGATGCCAGTTCATTCTGCGAACTTTTAAAAACTCTTATTTTACTTCAAATATTGCAAACCAGCAGCATGTTAAAATAGCCACATATTTAAAAAGGAATGGGAAATGACAGCTGTAAATTGAGATAGAAATATTCTAAAATTGGAGACACCATTCCTGAGCTGCATTTACAGGTGAATCAGAGTTAGTCAGGTAAGGAAAGAGGGAAGTGAGGCAGTAGTTTCCTCCTTGGGGAAAACAAATCGATTTTGGAAAAGGGAGGAGTGTGTTTGCCTGTCCCCCCACTGGTGTCCAGCTCTGTAGCTATTAACTGAAGTGTTGGAAAGGGAAGTGGAAAGAAGGCCCGTCTAGCCAGCCAGAGTTTTTCCTCCGTGCACAGAAGCCCAGTTTCTATGAATTGGGTGTGCCTCGCCCCATAAAAGGCCAATGTTGTCTTTTTTCAGGACAGTGTTTTCAAGTAAGTAGTTTGCGCTGAAAATATTGCCACCCTTGACTGTGAAAGTGAGGAGCCGGGTGCCGTGAGTGGCCAGCATTGCCCTGCAGTCTTCTGTGCCTGTTGTCGAAGGGAGCCGCTGCGTGGTGTCTCCGCCAGCATTCCGGAGATGCTCTCTCTGGTGAGGCAGGACAGGGTGTCCTCATCCCAGGCAGGCTGCTGGCCAGGAATTTAAGGACTTTTAAAATAGTGCTGTAGTGTTTAAAAGGGCTTCATCCTGTATTTACTTCTCTGCATGTATCCTTTTATCATAGGGGTTAGTTTTGTCCTCCGAAACATGACCGCTCAGTTTCAGGGGGTTATGCGAGGCCCAGAGGCCCAGGAAAACTTTGGGAAAGGGGGATAACAGGAGAGAGGAGGTCTAGCTTGCCTGATGATGCACAAAAGTGCCCTCTTCCCCATGCCACTGGGCTGGCAAGCAGGCGAGAGGGGTGTCTCTTCCACCAGCTGCATCCCTTTCCCACCTGAGCAAGATGACCCTTTGCCTGCACAGACTCTGGAGGCGGTGGAGTCCCTCTTCTGTTTATTCCATGTTGTTTTTCCCACCGCAGATTCTACTCTTGTGAAA